ATAAAAAAAAGAAAAGAAAAGAAAGGATGGTCATCATAAATCTATCATGAAACAAGCAACCTATTGAGCCTATACTTTAGCAAGAAGAATGCATATAAACAGCTCCGTGAATATTCTTTCCTAATAAGGGCAGTTTCAACAACTCCAAATTCCAAAATGTGGAATTTTACTATACTTTAAAGTATTGGTGCTATAATTTTTGTTTTTATAGTACAATTTTAAGTTGTATCTTTAATGTTATGGTACAACTTTTGGTTGTATCTATAATTTTATATAAAATCTTTTATGGTACAAACTAAAGTTGTATTTTATGTTATGATACAACTTATTGTTTATAAAGGATAGTTGAATAAGAGCAAGCACATTCCTCCACTCGTCAATGTCAAATTCGTTTATTGTACAACTTTATTTGGTATATTTAACGTTATGGTACAATTTCAAATTGTACTTTAAAGCATAGTAGAAGTGCTCCTCCAAAACACCCACAACAACCGATTAAATATTAATCCAACCAACAACTATCAATTCCTACTCAACCAATTAACTATTAAACCAACCAACGACAACTCTTTTAACATATTTACCTTTAGTTAAACTGAAATTTATATAAGTAAACTATGGTCCTATTACAGAAAGTCAATCTCCACAACATCTTCTTTTTTGGTCACAATCTACAAGAAATCAAAATAATCAGGTAAGTTCAATGAAAATACATGAAACTTAGAAAGAAAAAATATAAATTACCTTAATAGTCTTTTTCAACTGATAATGCTTCTTTTAACCAATCTTGAGTGCAAAGTAGAGCTTGAACGGTTTTTGTCCCCGGTGATGTACGATGTTTGTCAACCACTCTTCCTCCAACACTAAAAGCAGTCTCTGAAGCTACTGATGTGGTTGGAATTGCCATGATATCACAAGTCATCTTTGATAGCACCTTAGGGCATTGCTCCTTCCACCACTCAATGACATTGAATGGTGCTTTCCCCTTATGAACATGTAGATAATCCCGAAGATACACATCAAGTTCAGATTTCATTGTTGAAACACACTCTACATTTTGAACCATGGAATCAAACATTGTCCTTCCCATTTTTCTTTACCACTTGTGGTACTAGCAAAAGAAGTGGAAACCACTTCAACTTCATGCTCAGATGAGTTCCCAACATTCTTAGGTTTGTACTCTTCCACATACTTATCAAAGAGCTCGTCAAGTTTTGTCACGAACTATCGAAATATAAATCTTATTATCAGCCCCTCCTTGCCATAAAGATCAAGAAAATATGTCTCAAGCATTTTGAACTCATTTCTTGGATACAAGATACAAGCAATTGAAATCACCAAGTTGGTTTCTCCCCAATACTTGTCAAACTTCTGTAGCATTTTGACAACCATAAACCTCATATTTGGCTTCTCTAAATCTAAGGTGTCTTTCAATGGTATCTTGATAGTCCATAATTCAGGAAGAAACAAGTTAACAATCGAGTAGTTTGTTCATGAAATAGTTGTGGTGATGTCATTAAATAACTCTAAGAATTCACAAACATAATCGACATTGTTCCAATCCTCATCCGCGGACAACCACTTATACTAATTATTATTAATTCAATAGATTTGGCTAATAAAAAAGACTGCATAGAAGATTCGACAAATAATTTAGTGTTTACCCATCGTATTTCAAGACCACCTAAATGAACCAAATATGGATTAGACTCATGCACCTTCCAATTCTCTTTTCACATATTTTATTGGGTAAATACAGTTTAATAGCCAAGCCTTTCACTTTAAACAAAATAATAGGCAAACCTTTTTGAAAACTAATTATTAGTCAAATCGTTAACTTTCAGTCCGATCAACTGTTAGTTAACTCTGACAAAGTAGGTAACTGTACACGTCAGAAAATCTATTTCCAAGTTTTTAACTTTCCGAATATTACAATTTCCCCTAAAAAGTGAAGCCTTTATAAAAAAAAATGGGGTCATTCCTTCTCATCTCTCCCCATCCGCACAACCTCTCCCCTTACATCCGGCGACCATTCCTTCTCGCCCTCCACCCAGCCTCTCCTAGTCGATGAGATTCCCTCTCCTCGTGAGCTGAAGACCAAACTTATTGAAATGGAAGAGAGTTGTAAGATTGCTCGAATGAAGGCAGAATGAAAATCGAGTTGAGGAAATGAGCAATGTGTTTGATGTTCTTGAAAGCGGATAAAGAATGTGATGATATTTGTTCTAGTCGTTATGGTTTGTTTGTACTTTTATGGTTTCAATGAGTGATTAATGTGTACCATTAAGTGATCAATGATTGTGTTGTACCTCAATTTGCAATGAGTATGATGTACTTCTATTTGCAATAGGTGTTGCCTTTTTTAATCTTGACATTATCAGAGATGTCGTGACTGGAAGGATAAAAAAGACGATAAAAACCAATGTAACACAACTATTGAGTCTGCAAACGATATGTACATTAACACATCTGTCAAGTCTACAGAGCATATCTTTTCCATCAACACAACTATGAAGTGAACTCGTACAAAATGCAAAAGTCGGTAGAAGAGAGCCAATCAAACTACATTGGCTCAATTCATCACAAGCTCAACTTCATATTGTCCGCTTCTAAACTATAACTTCTAAGTTGGCTATACTAATAAAAATTCTAGTAGATAACAGTAAATCCAACTGAGGCTGAGTTGTTGGTCCCTATGTTGCGTCAATCTCAGTTGGTTGGGTACCAACAGCTTCTGCAGAAGTATGAACTTCATAATTCTCCACCCTCAGGAACTGAAAAGTTACAGCCAATATAATCATTGGTGACTATTACTTATCACAATGTAAGTAAAACAGAGCTAAAACAAACCTAATTGACACCATTCTCACATACATGGACATACTGGTTCCCGATGGTAAAATTTGTAATACACCATATCCGCTGCCCCATATGGAACAACATCTAGAATGAATCGTCCTTCCTAATTTGCCCTCTTCAAAGTAGCCACATAACTTCTCAACTTTTGATACTCTTCGTCGAGGGTCCCATGCAACATTTCTCATGCAATAACCTTAGCTCGGTAGCAAGTTCTTACTTCAACATCGACCCCTAATTCTGCCTTCACCTCCTCAACAATTTGGCAAGGCTCCCACTTCGAATTGACCCTAAGGCGCTCGAAATAATGTTGAGCAAGGAACCTTGTAGTCACTAAGTTTACTCGAAGAGACCGAGAGCAAGTGTGAGGCATACCTATCCGCCTAACCATGAAACTTGCACCACCTCCCCACCAGGCAACATATACCCTCCATTCACAAGCCACATCCTTGCATTTAAACTCCCTCCTACCTTTGTTACTCCTTGTACATGCGATATGTGCCCCCTCACCAATATCCTCACCTTCTTTCGGCAAACCTTGAAACAAGTGTGGTTCCTCATTGTCTCTCACCGGTCCATCCTCCACCTCGACAGCCTCTACAAATACGGACACATCCCTAGTACCGGCTGCATCAACAAGCAACCCTTCTATCACATCCTTATCGAAATGCACTTCATGTATACCATATTCCATTGTAGCCTCCAGTGTCAAGTATCATATCTTTCAAACGCCCACATACTTCAAGTAAATTGTAGCCACGTTTAGAAGCTCGAAGTAACACACTTCATCAACGTCCACCGCTATCTACTCTGAAAAACCACCAACATATCGTGGTTCCAAACCCGAGAAGTCCATCACCCCACCATGGTGGTATAAAATATCCAAATATTCCATCATCTGCAATATCAAAAGAAGAAGCAAAAATTTGTATGCGTGATAATTTTCCAGGTAAGATGGCTTTTTTTCATTCGCTACAATTACAGTTAAATCCAATGTTTCTACTTTCAAACCTTGTAATGCAAGGTCAATTTCGTGACTATTTCTGCAGTGGTCCCCCTGTGGTCCTCACAAACCAGATTTCGTCAATCGCACTATTATAAAAGAAGGAACATTCAATCAAATGGGGATAGAGAACCTAGGGTTTGAAAGCAAAATCAGGGCATCCATACCTAAATCAATCGTCTCCTTCGTCAGCACCCCCGTCGTCTCCTCGTCGGCACTTCGTCGTCTGCTTGCCAGCGCTCCATCGTCTCCCTCGCAGTTTTATATCGTCTCCTTCGCCAAAGCTCCGGCTTGGAAATGCACGAACAGACGCGCTCGCGTTTTCCAGTGCTCACATGAGGAGGGATGAAGGCGACGCTTTTCAATTTGGTTTTGTGGTGGGCAACGAGGTTGGGTTTCGCCGGAGGAGAGGTTTCGTCTTTGAGAGAGAGGGAGTCGAACGGGGAGAACAGGTGGAAGAGAATGAAGAGGGAGAGAGAGAGTGAACAAATAAGGCTTCGTACTTTTCCCATTTTTTATTTAATTTTAAAAATAAAATGAATCTCTATTTATTAGTTTTTTTCCCCCAAGTAATGACAAGAGAAAAAATAGTTAGAAACCTCTACCCAAAACCCCACCCAGAGCAACACTTAGTGAAGCCACCCTACAAAATCAAAGGACGCTACCTCTAAAGAGGACAGCAACAGAGCTTTAGGTGCCACTCTATTTATTAGTTGCCACATCAGTAAAAATGAGCTGACGTGTACAGTTGCTTGCCATGTCAGAGTCAACTAACGGTTGACCGGACGTGAAGTTGACGATTTGGCCAATAATTTGTTTTCGAAAATGTTTGACTATTATTGTGTCTTAAGACGAAAGGTTTGGCTATTAAATTGTATTTTCGCTATTTTATTCTTTCACTTTTTAATCTAGTTTTGTATCGATTAGCTTCGAGTATGAACCAGACCATGCCCAGTTGACCAGCCCGGGCGAACCACTAATTCAACTACCCGGGTAAACTCACTAGAGCAGCAAATCAAATCCTCCCACGTGGAATAACACGTCGGCCCAGACCAATCGCAGCGTCCATCACTACCTCCCAACCAACGCCAGCCACGTGGAGACTGTGAAACGGACAGAACAGTATAACCCCCAGGCCCAGATCCGTCATTTCACTTTGGTTTTCCCATCGCAGTTCCCGCATATCACCGCCGCCTCCGTTTAGTCTATTGCGACGGAGCTTCTCAGTCAGTCCCGCACTCCGCTCCGCCTGCAAAAGAGACTCGACAGTGGGAAACTCTCTGATTAATTAAGTCGTCTCTCCCCTCGAAGACTCAGCCGCGAAGAAAACCCTCCCATTTTCTCCAGATAACCCGAGCCGAGCTCCCTGCTTCCACTCCATTTCTTCTTTCTTCACTCTCTGCGATGGCGAGTCCAGAGAGCGCCGTCAATGGCCCGACGATGACAGCGGGGGCGGCATCGAAGAGCTTGCGGAATGCGTTCGGCGGCGTTATCGCCTTCATCATACTCGTCCTGATTGGAGTCCTGGCCTTCTCGATCCGCCTTTTCTCTGTAATTTCCTCTCTCAATTCCCTCTAGATCCGCTCTGATGTAGGCTGTTAGCTGGTGCGTTTGTTTCCGTCTGAGTTTAGTTTAGTGCTCGTTGTGGTTGAATGATCGGAATGGAGGGTGGGGTGGGGGGGGAGAACGAGGGCTGTTTGATTTCTGTTGGCGTTTGTGCAGTTGAAGTTGCTTAATTTGAGTGAAGGAGCTTTTTGCATGTAGTTTAGTTTTGGTGATGGGCATTCTTCCGAAGTATTTGATCGGGAGACTGTGAATTAGTGAACTGAGGAATGGCGTCTAGTATTGGTCTGGAGTTTGATAAATTGTTCTGTGCTGTTTTTAATTTGCTTCAAAAGGAGAATCATCTTTCGCTTTTGGAGTATTGCACTTGATGTGGTTATATAGTTAAGTCGTACGGATTTTTGTGCTGTTCTCCAGGTGATAAAATATGAGAGTGTGATTCACGAGTTTGATCCCTACTTCAACTATCGAGTTACTCAGGTAACATGACTTGCGACGAACTTTTTTCTACTTAGTATTGTTGGATATGAGTAGTACACTATTGCACAATGCACAGGTTGTAGGGTGATTGCTGAATAGTTTCGTGGTTTCAGTTCTTGTCGAAGAATGGGATATACGACTTCTGGAACTGGTTTGATGACCGAACATGGTAATTGGAATGATTGATGCTACAGAGTTTTCTCAATATTTGTTCTATGTTTCTTGGTCGCTACATTGTATGATATAATTGAAGAAATCTCATTGTTGTCTTAATTTCACACAAGGTATCCTCTTGGCCGTGTAATTGGTGGAACTGTTTATCCGGGTTTGACCTTGACAGCTGGCACAATTTGGAAGTGAGTTCTTTGATTTAATAAGCCATTTGTAGTTTCTTTTTCAACGATCTATGCATTACGGAAGTTGGGTGTTTGTACTTTGTACTAGGAGAACTATAATTTATATAAAGTTTTCTGCATAACTGAGTTCTATATGGGCTTCTTTCTCACTTTCTAATTTCTATTAACAGGGTCGTCAATTCCTTAAACATTCCTCTGTCAGTAGAGACTGTTTGTGTGTTCACAGCACCAATTTTCTCCGCATTCGCTTCATGGGCAGCTTATTTATTGACTAAGGTTTGTTTCTGTCTGACTAATGTCTTGGTGTAGTATATTAGCGGTGTTTTACTGAGAAACCTTAAAATCCTCTCTTTTTGTAGGAAGTTAAGGGTCCTGGTGCTGGACTCACAGCTGCTGCTCTCTTGGCCATGGTAAATTATATTACGGGGTACTTGTGATATGTTTTCTTTGTAAATATTTTTTAGATTCTGAAATGAACAACTGGGCATCTTACAATGTGATTATGTTATCTCCGGAGAGGTCCTGTTTAGGTGGCCTGTAGACAATTACCCACCCTTGGTTTACTATTAATAAGGAAATTTTGAAATTTAATTTCTCCTGAGTTATGCTTATTGATATGTTGCAACATATAACGTGTTAGAGATCATGCTAACTAGCAACATCACAGTTCTTTTTGATGATTTAATTTCTTTGTTCTTACAACAGGTTCCATCATACATATCTCGGTCTGTGGCAGGAAGCTACGACAATGAAGCAGTTGCTATATTTGCATTAGTCTTCACATTCTATCTATATATTAAGGTTAGTTGTTCAGAATGGTATTTCTTTTTGTGTTTTTGTGATAAGCTGTCAGATAATTTATGCTGTTCCTAGCTCTCCTTAAGCTTAATAAGCTCTTTTTTAATCAATGCTTACTTACTTGGCAGACGCTGAATACGGGGTCCCTTTTCTATGCTACTCTAAATGCCTTGGCATACTTTTACATGGTAAGCTTGTTCTACTGTTTTCTGGCTTACAATCATACGCATTGCATATTTTCAGTTGCTGAGGTATTGTTTCGTTGCAGGTCTGCTCATGGGGAGGCTACACTTTCATTATTAATCTGATTCCTATGCACGTGCTTCTCTGCATTGTAACGGGTCGTTATTCTTCTCGACTGTACATTGCTTATGCACCTCTCGTAAGTACTTGGAACTTCTGGTCACAGTTGTAGAGAAATGAAAATAAAACAATCACATTATCATAGTTCCATCATTTTATTTGGTAGTGACTCTTCAAGGTGAGTCATTATGTTAAAATATAAGTTTTTTTGCCTCTAGTTATAGAGCCACATGGAGTGCCACCTGATGTTGATATAGTCTTTTCATGGCCATTTAATATGAAATATTTTGTATTTTTCAATTTAAAAATCACTTTTTCATGCGATGTTGATAGATGAAAATTGGATAATTTTTTTAATGACATGATTTCTCTATGCAGGTGGTATTGGGTACTTTGCTAGCTTCTTTGGTGCCTGTTGTTGGTTTTAATGCTGTCTTGACATCAGAACATTTCGCTTCATTTCTGGCAAGTGTGATCTCTGCATTGTTACTAATTTTTCCTCTTATTGTTCTTCTCTGTCATTGTTTGCTTTTCATGTTATGTGCATGACATCAGCTTCTCTTTCTCTAGAATTGAGGGCAACCATATGTTAGTCAATAATTCTACCCAGTACCTGTCCTTCTGGATCATGTAGAGAGAGAATTCTGGAATTGATTGATATCAGGAGGGACACATTATAGACATGTTGTCAGTGTAGGCACTTAATTGTTCCAGTAAGGATTGTATTCAGTACATGAACAAGATGTATCTCGTACGAGTAAGAATTGATATCATGATATGACATAAGGGTGATCAATCCTTGTCTTCGTTGCTTCCCAGGCTGTTCCTCATCTTAGTTGATCAGCAGTGTCATCTATCTAGTTCTTACTATTTACTTGTGCAGGTTTTCATTATCATCCATGTTGTGGCCCTTGCATACTATATCAAAGGGATCCTCTCCCCAAAAATGTTTAAAGTTGCTGTGACACTTGTTGTGTCTGCTGGCCTGTAAGCTTTCTTATCATCCATTATATTTTATATTTGCAAGATAAATACTTATAGAGATGAGGACTGCAGCAGGAAAAGTTTGATTTTGATTTGTCTCAGGACTTCTCATGTGTTATTATGAAACTGATATTGATATCCACTGCTTGTCTATTTTCTGTTTTTTCCAGAGCAGTCTGTTGTGCGGTTATAGCAATTCTGATAGCAGTGGTGGCATCCAGCCCGACAAAGGGATGGAGTGGGCGAAGTCTAACTCTACTTGATCCGTATGTAACTTCTGGTTCATTGTCTCCATTTGACTCTACTGGATCATTTTTGTCTGTCTAGCAGCAATGCCTCCAATCACGGTGCAGCCTGCAAAATGTGATGACCATTTTGTGGCCAAACATGAGAGTGTCGTGTTGGATTGGATTGATCACTTGGTTCATGTCTATGGATTCATGGGTTGTGTCTCTGACCTTCAACCTTCTTCTGCGTGGAATATGACAGGACTTATGCAAGCAAGTATATACCAATTATCGCTAGTGTTAGTGAACATCAGCCTCCTACTTGGCCATCGTACTTCATGGACATCAATGTGTTAGCTTTCTTGGTTCCGGCTGGGATTATTGTGAGTTGCCTGGTTTAATGGAAGTTTGTCTTCTCAGTAATTACCACCTTTGGCTATCTCAACGGGGCTTATATATCATTTTGCAGGCCTGCTTCATGCCCTTAACCGACTCAAGCTCTTTTGTCATCCTTTATATTGTAACTTCTGTTTATTTCTCTGGTGTCATGGTAGGAAAAGTCTATGGCCCATCTTCCTTCAGTTAGTATTTGCCTCTCTTGCCTGTCTCATATAGCTTTACGAGTTGTTTGTTTGTTAATCCATGTTTTAGGTACGGTTGATGCTTGTACTTGCTCCTGCAGCATGCATCTTGTCTGGCATTGCACTGTCTGAAGCTTTTAATGTCTTGACTCGATCAATCAAGTTTCAGCTACCTGGTATAGCAGGGAACCCCAGCATTGCTGTAAGAATGTGGTGTATTATGAGTACTTCCAGTTGTCATTTGTTGATATTCTAGTCGAAACTGAAATTTCATAAACCATTTTCATCTTGTAGTCAGAAGAAAATGGTTCAAGCACTGTTGTAGCACCAAACGACATACCAAAGACTGAAGAAGCTGCAAAAGAAAAACCAGCGAAAAAGAACAGGAAGAAAGAAAAGGAGAATGTGGAGAAGAAGCCCACACCATCCAAAACTGAGAAGAGGCTTCTTGTCTTACCTCTGGAAGCCTCAGTCATTGCTGTTCTCTTGCTTGTATTGCTTGGTGCCTTCTACGTGGTATGTAACCTCTTCCTTTGAAGGATTTAAAGTAAATTTCTATAATGAATCTTGGTGCCCTATATCTGTTCGAAGCTTCCCACTTCTCTCTGAGAAAACGTCCATACTTTTTCTGAATAGATTCCTAACTATAAACAACAGGCAAATGTGCTCATTTAAGTACAATAACCAAGTTAGACCTGGAAAAATAAGGTTGTTGATGGTTGGTCAGGTTTAACACTTTGTTTCTGTTTAAAATATTATATTTCAAGAATAGAGATCTGCATCGTGGTTTTGTTCTGCACTTCTTTGGCGAAGTATTTATTGTCAAATAGAGGTGGGATAGAGTTGGGGATCTAGAACTGATTGGAATCTATCTTGTGTTTCTGTACAGGTTCATTGTGTATGGGCAGCAGCAGAAGCTTATTCAGCCCCTTCCATTGTTCTTACATCTCACTCGAATGATGGTGGCTTGCATGTTTTTGATGATTTTAGAGAGGCCTATTCATGGTTGAGCCACAATACTGACGTGGATGATAAAGTATGATTAATCCCTGCTCTCTTTTCCTTTCATTGATTTGCAGACATACTGGCTTCAGAATGTCACTTCATTGTGGAAACTTGCAACAGCATGTGGACAGCATAAGAAATATCAGCTAAAATTTGTGGAAAAATAGGATGTTTACATGTCTTCTGGATGGTTGACCTGATGACACTTGTTTTTTTTATTGTTGTAGGTCGCGTCATGGTGGGACTATGGGTATCAAACAACTGCTATGGCTAACCGCACTGTTCTCGTCGACAACAACACCTGGAACAACACTCATATCGCAACTGTTGGCACAGCCATGTCATCCCCCGAGAAGCAAGCCTGGGAGATCTTCCATTCACTGGATGTGAAATATGTCCTAGTAGTCTTTGGAGGTGTGCTTCATCTTCTAAGCGCAGCATTAATCTTAAATCCTTTTGAATCAGGTTACCTAAAGTAAATATTCATTTTACAGGTGTTGTTGGCTACCCTAGTGATGATATCAATAAGTTCCTTTGGATGGTTCGCATTGGAGGCGGTGTGTTCCCTCACATCAAAGAACCTGATTACCTGGTAAGTTTCTCCAACTTGCATATGCTGACATCCCAAACTGTTGCTGGATAGTGGCCATAACCATTAGTACCTGTTTGCTTTTGTTTGTATCCCAAGAGAGACGGGCAATACCGGATCGACGCTCAAGCTACTCCCACCATGCTCAACTGTCTTATGTACAAACTGTCGTACTTCAGGTCAGATTTTATCCCAATTCATAGCAGTACCGGTACTTATATTCATCGAGTTGAAAGGGAACAGATTCATTACGTGCTAAGTTGTAACTAAACTGAAGTGCTGGATGGTCAGGTTTGTAGAAACAGATGGCAAAGGATTTGACAGAGTACGAAGGACAGAAATAGGCAAGAAACATTTCAAACTCACCCATTTCGAAGAGGTTGGTTGATACTTTCCTTCCTAGTTCTCCCCTCAAATGCCCGAATCGCAGTTGTAGGTCAAGTATGCTTTGGTTTGATGTTGGTGAATTGTGGAATTAGGTATTCACCACTCACCATTGGATGGTGCGGATCTACAAACTGAAGCCCCAAAGGAACAGGATCCGCGGCAAGACAAAGAAATCCAAGTCTTCGGTACGTGGTTTGAATGTGGATGATGTCTAACTGATCCATCTCTTTCCTGTTTTCTGAGCCGGTTTTGACATTTGAAACTGCTGTCTTCATGTTTTGTTGATAGCAGAGATCGGTTAGCTCAAAGAGAGATGTAAGAGGAAAGAGGAATCCTTGGCACTAAGGGATAAACTACCATCTCATACAACGAAGCCATCTTCATTCTTCCCCATTGGTGTGTTAACTTTACTCATTTTCGCCACGTCCTCTTCGAGAGGTGCAGAGCTTGGTGAAGCAAGCAGTCAAGGGGAGAGATTTTGTAGGACTACCTCCACCCATGTGGTTTCTTTTTGTTGCGACAGAACTTTGACTAGAGATTAACATCGTACATTTTGGATGAAATACTATCCAGTCCAATTAGTGAAAGTTATGGATTCATCTCTTCGGCTTTTTAATCGCAGTAGCTGTAACGCCTGCTCATGCTTCTCGCTGCTGCTGGAGTCGAGTCAGATTCAATCGATTAGCCTTCGTTGACAATATGGACTTGTTGCGACAACTTAGTTACGTTCTAGTGACCAATTTGCAACCATTTTGGTTCTCTCTTTCATCGATGTATCAAAAGATTATGGTTAGATATAGAACCTTACAGTATATCACCAACCACCCAGCTAACCAGGTAAAGAGAAACCAACTCAAAGGTATTCAAATAGGGCGTTTCGTGTCACTATATGTGCGGGCAATTTGCAGCCGATGGACAGCTGAAAGTGCTATGCTGCCATCGAAAACCACTGGCAGGATGAATTCACTTGCACAGCATCGCGGATGCAGAATTCATTTACACAGCATCGCAGATGGTTCGATCCTGAAGCTGACCAACAAGAACCTGGGAGTCTCCCTCAACGATTGCCCCACTGAGTCAGCCTCCCAAGTAGCAGTAGAGCGCCCCGTGCAGCTAAGAGATTAGCCAGATAAGGGCCAGTGAACCGCCATGATCCTGAGCGAAAAGCATATAGACCAGCCTGCTACCTGAAAGACCAAGCTGGATGCACAACATACGGGGGAGAGAACTGGAGCAACAAAATAGACCTGGAAAGACCCTGGAGGCGGAGGAGAGAACGATACAGTTGTAGTGATGACAACCATTCAGACTTTTAACCCAGTGGTTTATGGTGCCTGCGATGATGCTTCTTTTTCCTTCATTCCTCGTTATTACTCCCTTTCTCTCAGTATGTAATTGCCTTTTCTTTGAGATGGACCAAACACAGTTCACAGTTCAAACCGCACCTCTGAATCAATACTAAACATTTCTTTATGGCAGTGAAGTGATCATATGCTGTTCGAACTTCGAACCACTCTTTCCGCTCCAAGGAAATCAAGCACTGTTGCCTAAAAGCAAAAGGAAGATTAGATTCACTCACTCAAAACTCAAAAGAGAAAAGGCACTTGGAATCCAGAAAAGCTTATAAATTGCCAATTATGATCACAAGAAATGTTTCCTTAATGAGTTTTCATTTACATGGAGTGAAAGCCCTGACCTTAGAGTGTTAGAGAGACAGAGGCAAGTTGATAGCCAGGTGAGCAAATTTCTTCCTCGGCATCTCAGTGACAGTGAGGCAGGATCTGGATATGCTCAGTTTCTATCATTTGGTTCTACAGAGGCCACCAAAGGGCGCATATTGGTGTGCAGTAGAGCAGCTTGAATTCCCATGCCAAGCATTAGCCCAAGGGAGATACAAATTTCTGCACAAATGTTTCCTTCATTCTATTTTTGGCTGCAATGCAACGCATTCTTAAACGAACATGGGCATTGCCACAGTTGTTCACAATGTGGCCGGATGAAGGTTACAAATATGGTTCACCAATATTCTCCACATGAGCACTCACCATCTCTGAAATGGTGAAAACGGCTATTGTCTCTGACGACTATCTCCCTCCCGACTATCTTCGAGATCAACTTTATCGCTGTATGGCAGTCCACACATATTCTGATGTTCTTTATAACTCGAATTGTTGTTCCAGCAGGCGTGCTCATGATGCCAAATGCTATCGCCCGTCTCTCACTGTGACCATACAACAAGTACTTCTTCTGCTCATCGTCAACATCATGCAGCACCTCACTCGTGTCAGCAACATACCCCGCTAGCTCCATTTTCTCTTGCAATTCACAGAGAGCATTGTTTATCTCATCATGCAGCGGATGGGACTTATCATCTGCAATAAAAGTATGAATCTTGTTCTTCACTTCTATCCAACTACAAGCAGGGTTTTTCCTTATCCCCATATTCCTCATGGTCATTCGTACCTTTGCAACTTCCTTCCATCTGCCCTCATTTGCATATATGTTGGACAGAAGAACTCGAGCACCAATGTTCTCTGGATCGACCTCGAAAATCTTGCTTGCGACCTTCTCAGCCAAGTCGACATTTTTATGGACCCTACAAGCCGAGAGTAGCAAGGACCAAATCGTACCGGTGGGTGTGGTCATGGTACTGATGAGTTGATAAGCATCGTTCAGCTTTCCCTTCCGGCTATAAAGGTCTGCCATTGCAGCATAGTGTTCTAACCCTGGCCTAATACCATATTCCTCAGTCATTCGATCAAAGTATCTTCGACCTTCATCTATCATGCCAGCATGACTGCAGGCAGTTAAGATCGCAGTGATTGCCACATGATTTGGTCGAATTCCTTCCAATTTCATCTGCTCGAATAATGAGATGGCATCTTCAGCATAACCATGTAAAGCACAACCCATTATCATTGCTGTCCAGGATACCATGTCACGACCCTTTATGCCGTCGAAAATCCATCCAGCGGTCCTAATATGACCACATTTGGCATACATGTCCACCAATGAACTAGAAATAAAAACATTATCATCAAATCCGCACCTCATTATGTATCCATGAAGCTGCTTTCCCAAATTCAACGTGGTCAAGTGAGCACAAGCAGGCATGATACTGGAGAATGAAACACTCCCTGGTATAACATTATCCTTCAACATCTGCCGGAAGAGTCTCAAGCCTTCATCAAACATACCGTTCTGCACACAACCAGCAATAACCGAGTTCCAAGAAATGGTGTCACATTGACGAGTAATCTTGAACACACGTATCGAGTCTTCCACTCGAGCACACCTCGAGTACATGTTGATCAAGCTGCTAGCAACATAAAGGTCCTTATCAAAGCCATATCTAATGACATAACCATGAATCTCCCTTCCCTTATCAACATCCACGTATTGGGCAAAGATAGGAAGTATGGCTGACAAAGTAAATATGTCAGGCTTCAGCCCTGCACCTCCCATCTCCCTAACCATCGCCAAAGCATCTTCGTGCAGTCCATTTTGTGCATTCCCCGCGATTACAGTGTTCCAAGAAATGATATCTCTTGTTGTCATCGTCTCAAATACCTTCTTCACGCTGCTATCCGCTCCTGCACCAGTTCTACTTCTACCGTCTAAGCAACTACCAAGCTGAGGAAAAACATCTACAAACCGCTTCAGGACAGTGTTGGTACTAATACCCACACCATCCTCGCTTTCCTGCGAAAGTTGGCTTGCAAATAGATTATCAACAGTCCTCTCAGACATTCCATCGAACACCTTGCGCCTGTCACGTTCCCGCCACTCGCTCTCAGCCAAACTCTGCAGCTTTGCATACATATTAATGAGTGCATTCCCAGTAATCAAATGAACGTCCATTCCCAACCTAATAATGCACCCATGAACCGCCTCCCCCAATCTCAAATCCAGCAGAAAGGCGCAAGCTTTCAGCACAGAAGGGAACACGCTGTGATCAGGGGTGTTACCGGAAGCTCTCATGTCTACGAAAGAGGCCAGTGATTCAACAAAGCGCCCATTCACCGCGTAGCATTTGATGATTGATTTGTATGCGAGAGAAGGCGGGGACTGTAGGGTTTTGAACAGGCAGAGGGATTGGTTCAGGAGCTTGAAGTTGGAGTAAACGCAGATGGCTGTGGATGTGTAAAGAGGTGAAGAAGGGTTGTGCTTGAGGATTTGGGCGTGGAGCTGCTTGGCTTCGGATGCGGAGGTGATTGCTCCCGGCCGCTTGAGAAGGGCTTTCAGGAGCTGTTTAACTTCGAGTTTGGTTGCGATGGCGCCTGGGTTTCTGAGGAGAGCTTCGAGCACGCCCAGCGTGGATGCCATTGTTGGTTAATGGCGGAGCTTCTCTCAATCCCGGCTGCCTGACTTAATTCTGATGCGGCGCCGGCGCCGGGAATTAGATACGGGCTGGACCTAGATAGCTGAGAGGGCCGAAGCCCAAGTTATATGGGGAAGGAGTTTGTGGGCCTGAATCTTATTGCCTACCTGCGATCCTTGATCTTATAATCGACAATAGGTTAGTGTGATTACTCAATTTTACGGTGATTACTATGTTTATAATAATCACCGTAACTTGTCCCATACGAGACACCACAATTACAAAATTCATGCATTCTCGATCCTTAGTCACAATACAAGGCCTGTGTGGTGCTCCTGTATTATTTGAAGAGATTGGTTGGTTCAATTCAACTTCTCCACAAAATTTAAGCACATTTCAACACTAAAATTTCGCAGAAGAAGACGATTATATTGCTATTTATTGATCACTACTCACTAGAGACGAATTAAGAGCGTTTGTTTGAGCTTTTTTACTAAAATTTAAGAAATTCATGTCTTATAGTACTTAGGAATCCTGACTTGGATGTTGTATTTATAATTTAGCAAAAGAGTAGTTTGTGGTGGAATAAAGCAAATTACAAATCCAACTGCCAAATGGATGATTAATTAGCAAGCCTAAATTTGCTGGCACTGGCACCATTATATTATTATTCTTATTATATCTTTCCCATAGTTTCCTTATTGTTTATGATTTAGGACATAATTTTGTTTGTCTCTCTTTTACGAATTAAAACCATACAATTAGATGGATAACAACGAGATCAAAGGTGTCTTTAGTGTCGTGGCACCAATTTCTTTTAAAGAACACAGAGAATAAAGGTGGTAGTTACATATGACACAAATCCTAATCGAGCTGGTAATGAAACCAAAACAACATAATCATGGTACAGGTCTTTTTGAGCCATTAATTTAGTAAAAATTGTCCTCTAGCTAGGGAATGATATACAAACTCCAAGGCTTGTTGACCATTTTGGTCATCCAAAATTAGCGACGAAATCAGAATTTTATTTATAGGTGTATCTCATAAAAAATTAAATGAATGACTTTAAAGTATGACAGAGTATGAAAATTTGATATCCAATTGCTACAAATACAAAATGCAAAATACCTAGTGACATTTAAAGAAAAACAATTACAAAATGTGTTTTCATCTTCTGAAAGAAAAATCTGAATGCATCTATTAATGTATAATATAGAGTAAATATTTTAATTCAATTTCTTTTTGAATACTCCTTCTATGTTAAAAATATAGCAGCAGATTGGCTTTGTGGTGTAGTGGTTTGATAATTCTTACTCCAATTAATTCCGAGGTATCCGGTTTGATTGTTCTATATAGGGACCGGATTTTAGGTGTGTCGTACGAAATACAATTTCGTTATCATTGTGCAAGTCGCCACGCAGAGAGAGTTTGTAGCAGCCATTTTGAATATCATTTTTCTAAAAGTTAAATATTACTTACGAATTTTCATTTTAAATTTAAATTTCATTAATTATTAAATAATATACCTTATTATTTATCTCGTTAGAGTTAGGCCTCAATTTCTCTCTCTCTCTCTCTTCATCATATTGGCTAGAGGTGTTCAAATGGTTACCATGGTTATTACCAAACCAAATAAGGCTAAATTTCATTAACTGTGGAATGAAATATCATAACCAAACCGTCCAAACTAATACAACAACCAAATTAACCAAACTAAAGTTTAATCGGTTTGGTTAATTGGTTAACCAGATTAACCAATATAAAATCATATTATCATCAAGTGAGAAATTTTTTTGGTTAATTTATCAATTCACAATTTATATAATGAATAAAACATAACAATCAACACATAGTTATAGTTGACTCTTAACATAAATACACGCAACTGAGTCAATTATCTTACGGTTAGTATAGAAGTATTCACCTAACAAAAATTTATCAAAATGATATGGATTAATGAATTGTTGTGTTTGTTTGAATTGACTTACTCTTTTAGCAATTTTCATAGCCTGAAAAAGGACCTTGCTTTCAAGTTTTCATCCAACATAATGTATGAAAATTTATCTAAATTAGGCGGTCATATGTTGTGGTCTACACTCTACATATACAAATATACATTATAGGAACAATATCAAGCTTTATATTTTATGAGTCTAAAAGGATAAACGTTTAACTCTTGAGTGATTATTCAAAGTATTAAGTATGTGTATATATTAGATATATAACTAATTATTTATCTGGTTAATTTGATTTGGCTGATTAGGAGTGTCTGAAACCAAACCAAACCATCTAAACCAAACAAGCTAAAAACTTTAACCAAATCAAATTAAAAGAATCAAGCCGCCATTCATGGGATACAAATACAATTAGCGAGTAAGCCACCAAGTTTATCTTCTCTTGATTTGTTTTTATTGAGTGCTCTTCATGATAATCTCTGACAAAGCCATTTGGTTGTTGAACTTAGCATTAATGGAGACGGCCAAACACGAAAAAAAGATTAGCACTAATTTAAATTATTCGACTAGAAAGAAAGAACTAGTCTTGCGAGGCCAATAAAACGAAACCGTGTGAAGCCTTTTTCCGCAAAATCCCAATCCAACAGTTGACATTTAGACCGTTGCTCCGGCGGAGAGCAAAAAAAAAAAAAAAAACAGAGAACAACAAAATCCTCTCATTTCCTTCTCTGCGCCGCCGGCCGACTCGCCGGCGTTCCTCCCATATTCATTTCTACCCCGTGACCCACATAAACGCGCACAATCCCCTAATTCCTTCTCGTCGCTTCGAAAAGTTAACACCCTCCAATTCTTTTTTCTCTTCTCTAAAGCGTGACACGCAATTACTCCATCGTCGTCGTCACCAATCATTCGATTCGATTGCTTTGCTCCCTTCCTTCAAACCCAAGTCTCTCTTTAGTCCTTTCACCGATTCCCTCTCTCTCGCTTTACTGATTTCTTGTCCAGAAAGTAGAAACCCACTGCTGGGATTCCTGCAAAACCCTCAAATTTATAATTATTTGACAGCGACGGCTGACCACCGCCACCGCCACCTGCCGGGCTGCCTACCCTTGCGGACCTGAGGGTCTTCTTCAGCAATCCTCAATTCCACCCACTTTACTGCTGCTTTTTCTCTTCTGGGTTCTCTCCCTCGCAGATTTTTCTTACATGTCTCGCAACGTTGGAAACAACACCAGAAAGTCCAACTCCACGCGCCACCGGGCACAACCCGCCGCCGCGGCGGCCACCACGGTGGCCACGGGGACCGTCGCAGTCATGCCCGTTTACCCAATTGACCAATTGGGTTCTCCCTTCGGCGATGATTCCGCCGCCCCTCTCAACTTGTCAGCCTCGGAGCTCCGGGAATCCGCCTACGAGATCCTAATCGCGGCTTATCGGAGCTCCGGGACCCGCCCGCTCACGTACACCCCTCAGTCGGAGAGAGCGGCGGATGATAGAGGGCAGGGTCATGCCAATTCGACTCTCACGCATTCTTCATCGCTGCAGCGGTCGTTGACCTCGTCGGCAGCGAGTAAGGTGAAGAAGGCCCTCGGGATGAAATCGGCGAAGCGGAGAACGAACGGTGATGGCGAGTCGGCGGGTCAGGGGAGATCGAGGAAAGCTGCGACGGTCGGGGAGCTGGTTAGGGTTCAGATGAGAGTGTCGGAGCAGGCTGATTCCAGGATTCGACGTGCTCTACTGCGAGTTGCTGCTGGTCAGGTGGGACTTTCAATTGCGAAAATTCTTTGTGGTGTGTTATTTGGTTGCTCAGAAATTAGGGGAATAACAGAGTCAACAGCTTTGCAAAAGAGCACTCATAGAGACTGCACTGATCAAAGTTAGCATCCTTTTGTTATGGTGTCTGAAGTTTCTTCCAACTTCATTTTACTTGTTTCAGGATACTTGGTTTGCTTCAGTTTCCTTTGACATAGTTGAAAGATTGAACCTTGTTTTATCTCTCAGAATAAGGTCTAATCTAGTTTTGGGATTCTTTTTGGTGCTATTGTATCAGCTAGGAAGGCGGATAGAGTCGATAGTTCTACCTCTCGAGCTATTACAGCAGCTCAAGTCCTCGGATTTCCCTAATCAGCAAGATTATGAGGTCTGGCAGAGGAGAAATTTGAAGCTTTTAGAAGCCGGACTACTTCTGCATCCACACATTCCATTAGATAAATCCGACACTGCTGCAAGGCAACTTCAGCAGGTTATCCGTGGGGCATTGGACAAGCCCCTTGATACTGGCAGGAACACCCAGTCAATGCAAATACTCCGAAATGCAGTTATGCCCTTGGCTAGCAGGTCGTTGAACGGGTCTTCTGTAGAAACTTGCCACTGGGCAGATGGTTATCCCCTGAATCTAAGACTTTACCAAACACTCCTGGAAACGTGTTTTGATGTCAATGATGAGTCAGTTGTTATTGATGAGGTCGATGAAGTGATAGAACTTATAAAGAAGACGTGGACAATTCTAGGAGTTAACCAGACGTTGCACAACATCTGCTTTTTGTGGGTTTTGTTTCATCATTATGTTGCAACTAGCCAAATCGAAGATGACCTCTTGTTTGCTGCAAATAGTCTGATTATTGAGGTGGAGAAAGATGCAAAGGCAGCTAAGGATCCAGAGTACTCAAAGATCTTGAGTTCGACATTGAGTTCTATACTGGGTTGGGCGGAGAAAAGGCTTGTGGCTTACCATGATAGCTTCAATAGTGATAATACTGAATCGATGGAATGTGTTGCTTCTATGGCTGTTGTGGCTGCAAAGGTACTTGTAGAAGATATCTCTAACGAGTATCACAGGAGCAGGAAACAGCGAGATGTTGCTTCAGATAGGATTGACGCTTATATCAGATCATCATTGCGTGCTGCTTTTAACCAGGCAAGTTGAATTTGTCTCACTTCTTAGGCCTCATTCTCCAGTTGATCAAATAATGAACTTCTCAATCAAATGCACCCTTCCAACTTGTAATTTTCTACCTTGAAATCTAATTTAAAAGGATGTGGATCACACTTAGTCAGTTCTACATTTCCAATTCTTCCATTTCCTCTTCTATAAAGCTTCAAAAGTTGAAGCGGTCGTTTTACTCACTTCTGGCCACTCATTACGTTGAATCAAATGGAAAGTATCTACTGCATATCTATCCTGGTCGTGGTACTACATTTATGGCATTTCAACTTCGAATCTTTACTTCCTGGTGTTCAGTTGGGAATTTCAACCTTCATGTTACAGAATCTTCTGGTGCTGAATTGGGGGACTATTGTATTATGTGAACTTTTGAAGAATCTACATGCCCCTAAAATACTCGTCAGATTTACTATTTATCATTGTTAATAGATGTTGTAGCTTTAGTTATATGCATTTGCTATTTCATTCATCATTTAGAGAAAGTAGTCTTGCCACTGAAAATGCTTTTAGCTTACGGTTCTCTTTCATCTTCTTAAGACAGAGAATGAAGAAAATCACTTCATCCAAGCAACCATCTAGAAACTTGCAAACTCCACTTCCTCAGCTTGCTATACTTGCAAATGACATTAGCCAACTGGCTTTCAGTGAAAAGGCTATATTTAGTCCTATATTCAAGAGATGGCACCCCCATGCAGCTGGTGTAGCAGTAGCCACGCTTCATTCTTCCTACAGCAAAGAGTTGAATCAATTTGTATCAAGTGTCAGTGAGCTGACACCTGACGCCATACAAGTGCTGACAGCTGCTGACAAATTGGAAAAAGATCTTGTCCAGATTGCGGTGGAGGATGCGGTGGATAGTGAAGATGGTGGGAAGTCGATAATCCAACAGATGCCTCCATATGAGGCTGAAGCTGTGATGGCCAACCTTGTGAAGTCATGGATAAAAACACGAGTTGACAGACTAAAGGAATGGGTGGATAGGAATCTACAACAGGAGGTATGTTTCCTAGTGATGTTGAGGTTCACAAATTTAGTACAACTGTAGAGATTTGTGTGCATTAGATTTCTCATGGATGATCTAAGCTCCACCGTTTCTGACTCTTGTAGGTGTGGAATCCGAGGGCGAATAAGGAAAGGGTTGCCCCATCTGGAGTTGAAGTCTTGAGAACTGTTGATGAAACTTTGGAAGCCTTCTTCCTGCTGCCAATTCCTATGCATTCAGCCTTACTTCCAGAGCTTGTAGCAGGGCTTGATAGATGTCTCCAAAGTTACATATTGAAGGCAAAATCTGGTTGTGGTATGTTACCTACCCAGCTTCCTGAACTATTTCTGCAATGATTTATTTCTCTTGGTACCCAATACCCATGCTTATTACGTTTCCTCTTTTCTTTCCTTTTCAACAATCTGCAGGCACTCGAAGTTCTTATATCCCTGCTTTGCCTGCATTAACAAGATGTACAACTGGATCAAAATTCCAAGTATTCAAGAAGAAGGAGAAGTCGCAAATGAGCCAGAGAAGGAAGTCTCATGTTGGAACTGCCAGTGGTGATGACTCCTATGGAATACCTCAGCTTTGCGTGCGCATGAATACTCTGCATCATATTAGAATGCAGTTAGAAGTTTTGGAGAAGAGGACAACCATTCAACTGAGGAACAACATCAAGTCGGGTCATGTCAATGATGAGTTTACCAATGGAGTTGGGGTGAAGAAGTTTGAGCTATCAGCTACGACCTGTGTTGAAGGGATTCAACAACTCTGTGAGGCAGCGGCATATAAGATTGTGTTTCACGATCTAAGCCCAGTCATGTGGGACAGCCTCTATGTGGGTGAAGATGTTTCAACTTCTAGAATCGACCCTTTCCTTCAGGAGGTCGAGCAGAACTTGGAGATTATCTCGTCGATGGTGCATGACAGGGTTAGGACACGCGCCATTACTGACATGATGAGAGCTTGTCTCGATGGGTTCCTGTTGGTTTTGCTTGCTGGGGGCTCGTCTCGTGCTTTCTCTTTGCAAGATCATGTGGTAATAGAGGAGGACTACAAGTTCCTCCGGGAGCTTTTCTGGTCCAATGGAGATGGGCTACCACTCGAGTTGATAGACAAGTATTCCGCCACTGTTAGAAGCATCCTTCCTTTGTACCGAATGGATTCGGAAGCCCTGATTGAGAGGTTCAAAAGTGCAGCCTTGGAGGCTTATGGCACTGCTTCCAAATCGAGACTTCCATTGCCGCCAACTACAGGTCATTGGGGTCCTAGTGAGCCAAATACTCTGCTGAGAGTTTTGTGTTACCGGAATGACGAGACAGCGACAAAGTTTCTAAAGAAGACTTACAACCTGCCTAAGAAATTGTAGTGTTGCCTTTAATGTTAGTGCATTTTTCTCAGTATGACATTGCTCCTGCTCCTGAATCATTGGCTGCTGCAGTTTCTCGACCTGGTTGTCAACTGCTATGAAGAAAAAGACAATAACTTTTATGTAACAGCTGATTGAGACTTTGTGAGTGTAACACTTGTTGCTGCCGCATGTGTATTTAAAAAGAGGTTTGTTCAGGAGAAAGAAGTTGATTTTTGAGTGTTGAGAGGTTCTGTAGATACATGTTCAGAAGAAGGTAAGCTTGGAAAGTTGAGGTCAAATGTATGATGAAGGGAAGCAAACCAGAAATGGTGGAGCTTGACCAATGATTTTCTTTACTGTTATTTTTCAAAGTGAAGGCAAATGTAACGAAGCGAGGAAATGACTGACAGGTTTGGAACCAACGGAAATCCCTTGAAAAGAAATAACTTCAAATAAGAAACAGCGGCCATCGCTATGGCGCTCTCATTCTCATACCACAGAACCAACGGAAATCCGAGTTCGAAGTTCGGAGATTTCCCGCTGGCGGGAAGGAAAAAACGTAAAGGAAAACCATGAAAGTCGACAAATTGAAGCTTCGCCAGGCAGTAGATTCACTCTACTCTATCGGCCCAGCAAGCCAAGAGTCCTACACCCGGCTCGTGCTAGAATGCTTTCGTGCCAACGATGCCGATCAAGCCAAGCGATTGCAGTCCCACATGGACGCTTACTCCTACCGCCCGGCCGATTCCTTCATTCACAATCGACTCCTCCATCTGTACGCGAAATCCGGCCAGATACCCAGTGCTCGCCAACTGTTCGACAAAATGCCCCACAGAGACATCTTCTCCTGGAACGCTATGCTGTCGCTGTATGCGAAATCCGGGTGCGTTGACGACTTGCAAGGCACGTTCGACAGGATGCCTTCCCGGGATTCGGTTTCTTATAATACCGTGATTTCGGGTTTGGCTGGACGTGGGTGTGCAAGCAAGGCGCTTTCTGCCTTTGTGAAGATGCAAAGAGAGGGGGTTGTGCCCACAGGGTACACAGTTGTTAGTGTGGTGAATGCTTGTACGCAGTTGTTGGATTTGAGGAGAGGGAAGCAGATCCACGGGAGGATAATAGTTCGCGATTTCGGAGGTAATCCTTTTATTTCGAATGCGTTAACCGATATGTATGCAAAGTGTGGCGAGATCGCTGTGGCGAGGTGGCTCTTTGATAGGATGACGAATAAGAACTTGGTGTCATGGAATTCCATGATCTCTGGTTACTTGAAGAACGGGCAGACTGATAAATGCATTGATTTGGTTGGTGAAATGGAGTTGTCTGGTTTGAAGCCCGACCAAGTTACACTTTCAAGCATCCTCAGTGCATATTTTCGGAATGGATGTTTGGAACAAGCGGGGAAATTATTTAGGAAGATTTCAGCGAAGGATAAGGTATGTTGGACAACTATGATAGTTGGTTATACCCAAAATGGCAAGGAAGAGGAGGCTCTGATGTTGTTTAAAGAAATGACGTTAGCAAATGTCAAGCCGGATACTCATACCATCTCGAGTGTGGTTAGTTGCTGCTCTAAGTTAGCTTCTCTGAATCATGGCCAAGTTGTTCACGGGAAAGCATTTGTGATGGGAGTGGATGATGACCTGCTGGTTTCTAGTGCTCTTGTTGATATGTATTGCAAATGTGGACTCACTAGGGATGCGTCGAGTCTGTTTACCATGATTTCAGCCCGAAATGTGGTTTCTTGGAATTCAATGATTGGTGGGTATGCTCAAAACGGGCAGGATTCAGATGCTTTGGCACTTTTTGAGAGCATGTTGGTAGAAGAAGAATTTAAACCAGATCATATTACCTTTGTAAGTGTGCTATCTGCTTGTAACCATGCTGGTTTGGTTGAAGAAGGAAAGAGATATTTTGGATCAATGAGTGGAATTCATGGTCTGTCTCCTACTTTAGATCATTATGCGTGCATGGTTAATCTTCTTGGGCGTTCAGGAAGCATTGATGAAGCTGTTGAGCTAATTAGTAGCATGCCTCATAAGCCAGATTCCTTGATTTGGTCAAGCCTTTTAAATGTTTGTGCAACGAAAAGGAACATCAAGTATGGGGAGATGGCAGCGAGGAAACTATTTGCATTGGATCCTTTGAATGCCGGGCCTTACATCTTGTTATCCAACATGTATGCCAGTGATGGAAGGTGGAAGGACGTTGCAGCCCTGAGAAGTTTGATGAAGACCAACAACGTGAAGAAATTCGCAGCCTACAGTTGGGTTGATATCAACAATGAAGTCCACAAATTCGTTGCAAATGACCGGATCCATGTTGATTCGATAGCTATATACAAGGAACTCGATGATTTGATAAAGAAAGTTCAGGAAGTTGGCTATAAGCCTAGTACAAACTTGGTCTTACATGATGTTGGGGAACAAGAGAAACTGGAGTCCATTAGTTATCACAGTGAAAAGCTTGCGCTCGCATTTATGTTGATGAAAAGGCCTCATGAGTCTATGCCGGTAAGGATATTGAAGAACCTTCGTGTTTGTAGCGACTGTCATGCATTTATGAAGTTTGCATCTAAAGTCATGGGCAGGACTATCGTATTGAGAGATTCAAACAGATTCCATCATTTTGTTGGAGGGAAATGCTCCTGCAATGACCACTGGTGACGGAGAACGAGAAACACTGGGTGAACAGTCTGATAATGACACTGGAAACCATCGATTGCTTATGGCTGATGAGTGCCTCTATGATTCAAAAGAGAAGAAGAGTTTATTTATCTGGTACTTTGGCTAGTTCAGAGAACACACACTTCTATATACTAGAAGTTCTTACTTATGTCAGCAAAAGTTGCCTGAATGTCAAGGTACTGACCAGCCCACGGTGAGTGGAGTGTACAAAAGGTAAGTCGAGAAAGTTTACGAGGTAGAGTAACCCATTGTTAACAACACGAATTCAGTAGCAGATGTATTTTTGCAGCTTGAAGACGAAAAGGGTTTCTTATTTCTTAAGCATGTTGATTGTTTTTGGCGACTTTGTGTATGTTGGTTTCAGGAATGGAACCATTGGCAAATCTGCAGATGGATGATGCCATGACGGTGGCTAATATGGACACAAGAGGGCTGGGAATGCTGCTGCTGCCGCTGCTGCTGCTGCTGCTGCAGCATTCCAACGCCACTTCCACGGCAGCAGATTCTCAAGCTTCGTCGAAGAGAAGTTCTGTACAAAATCTTCGTCGAAGAGAAATTCTGTACACTCTGTTACTAGTGACTACATTCGCCGCTTGAAGCCTAGAAGTCTCTGCTGTTGGATTTTCTTAGGTTCAGATGTGAAGCGCTGAAATCCAAGATGAATGCAGGCCCAAGACACCAGAGTTGGGAAGCTAAAGGCTGACGAAGTTGAAGCCATTCCTTGTTGGGCTTCTGATAACTCTTTTCATGTTGGGCAGCCACATTTCTGATTTCTCCACAAGATAACTTTTATCCAAATATGTGTGTAGGATGGAGGGAAAGTATTTGAATTTGAGACCTTCATATTGAAAATCAGTAATAAAATTGAAATACCGCATTCAAGCAGTGGTGGAGGGAGGTAGTAAATTAGGACCCCATGTTCTCGTCGGTTTTAACTTATATAAGGATCCCATTGCGTGCGAATCGAGTTATTTACGGATGGATCGATATCAATCTGCGGATTAACCACTCACATGCCCACCCCTAATAACCTCTTGGCCTAAACCCACTATTACTTCCCTTTATTGACTTCTGATTGCAGCTGTAAATTTCTATCAAATGAAAAAAAAAACAGGGGGTAAAAAAACAGAGCATCACTGTTCAATATCCATCTCGTTTTACCATGATAATAATTGATAACAACAACATATTCTTCCTCTCCCTTTCCCTTTCCCTTTCCCTTTCCCTTTCCAAGACTCAAAAACCTTCAGTGGGAAGGACTGTGGAAGAAGGTGTAGGACAGGGGAGAAGAGCACTACCCTGCAAGCAATGTGCATGGAGGAGACACGATCCTTCCTCCATAGCCACAAAAGAGAAAAACAGGGGGCACGATGACTCGTGAGAAACATGCAATTTTTCTTCTTCTTTCTTCTTCTTCTTCCATTTCACTTCTGCTCCCTTTTGGTTCAAGAGACATAATGATATCCCCATCATTTTCAGGTTGAACGCAGGGGAAGGATGGATCTCCATAATTTGCATGCAAGTTGTTTGCTTCTATATGGAGTTTTGCTGGGAGGATTCATTTGGGTCCAGAGAAAGGGAGGAATAAAAGTGAAAAGGACATGGTTTGCCTTTTTTACAGGGGGGGGATTTGGATTGACTGGTTCGATTCCGCCATGAAAAATCAGGCCGAGGAACAAAAATCAACGCCATTCGATACGCTTGTCCCCTTTCCATTTTTATTCCTGTTCCAGTTTTGCTGGCCCTCACCAGTGGAAGGCAGATGTGACGCATCGAGGTTAATGTTGCAATGTGGTAAATCGGTGATGATTAATACGTTGACGTGAATTGATGATGGTCGACGGTGGTTAGTGAGAGATAACTAGATGATGTTGATGGAGAAGAAGGAAACTGGGCATTATATTTTGGTAATTTGGGAGAAATATAAGTAAAACTGGCCCGAATACTGGATCTGATTTCTTTAACACGGTTTGATCTGGTCCCAATTTAATCAAGTCAACGTGGACCTTAAAAAATCATCAAAATTCACGAAGATCTTCTAAAAATTCAAATTGTGAGTAGTGCAGGATTTTAAGGTCCATAGATTATTATTAGTGAAATCAGGACCAAAAAATTATGACCGAATTGTTCCATCAACCGGGATCTTTTGGCTCGTCAACTGTATCCCAGTCCGGAACACGCACGTAAGTAAAATCGTAAGATTTTATGATTTAAATTTGGATTTTGACTACTATGCGCGTACAGTACCTGCGGTTCAACCGAAGAAAAAAAAAAAACCCTCTTATCAATCGAAGTCCAAATAAGTAGCAATTTTTATCACACGTCATCCACACGTGTGAAGAGTAGCTGTGTGCGACTACTACTATTATATCATTCTTCTTCCCAGTTCCCACTCGGAAATTGGAGGACCGCCGCAAAAAAACAAAAAACGTGGAATAGTCACACGGACACTCTGCCGCCGGCAGCGGCTTTGATAGATATATACGACACCGTATAGCTTTCAGGCACCACCGTCCCAACTGTCCGGCTGCCACCCTTTCCTTCAACACCTCGAATCTTTGACCCCGATCCACTTCCCCGGCCCACGTCGATCGTCGCCGCCCGGCCCATTTTCAACGTTTTGCGTCGTCCTCTTTTCCTCCTCCTCATCATTATTCCTTTCTTTCTTCCCCCCGGCCCCGCTCCCTCATATAATTGCTTCATCGACGTCGGCAGTCGGCACAGTTATATTATTATATATCATTAACCAATAATAATAATAATAATTGATAATATGGGGTTTCCCCTAATTTATCTTTCCTTTTTGTTTTCTTTTAACGAACATGAACAAATAATAATCGATCGGAAAAGGTGGTGATCAACATTAGCTAGATCTAATGATTGGTGAGGATAATGGTGACAATACGTGCGTGTGTTACATGTTTCATCGTTGTCAGGACAAGAGAAAATAATTTCAATGATTTTTTTGACTCTTGTCCTGTCCTGCTACACATGTACATCAAAAGGTTGCTTTGTATTTTTTTGTAGTCGAAAATCTTCCACGATATGTTGCTTGCATTATATTTTAGCATGATAATGGTGATACTGTGTTGTGGTTACTTAAACCGTGTTCGTATTGGGTTTTGTTGGGCTCGTCTTAATCGTTGGATTGGGGTTTTAACCCTAAGTCTTTCTCTATATAAGTTTAGCTACGAGATTGTCGTATGCAAGCCGTAAAGATGTAATCCTAATAAGAGATCAGCCGTGAGCTCTTATGAGCTCACCGTGGATTAGTCTCGATCAATCAATCGATCGTGGATACCACGTAAAATCTTGTGTCCCGTGTGTTATTTCACTTCCGCATCATCAAATTCTACATACTGCCCACTAGTTTGGGATCTCTTGGAAATAATTGTGGGGTTTTCTTGATGATTAATGTGCTCCAAACGGAAGGGTTTCTTTTTGTTTCAAGATGAAAGAGGTGATGTTTCGGGTTATCGTGGTTAGAGAGGGATCATCTAGTACTCAATCGCCAGCAGCAGCGTGTCCCCGCCACCTGTCAATAACATGCGGTATTTTTTTTTATTTCTGGTTATGTCGTTACAGTACTATAGTATGTAATGAAAATTGTGGCGGGGTGTAAAATTTAGGTTAACGTTCATTGCGTAGCATTATATTTTAGCCGATGGGTAGGGCATGAATTTACGAATTTACAAGTGGTCGAATGTACGTATTAAGTGAAAAAAAACATGCATGTATAAAATTAGCGACCTCAGTGGCCCAGCCAGCCAGCTGCTCAATCTCTAAAATTAGGAACCCTGTGGTCCGGAGAACTTAATCACAAACAGCTACAGTCTAATTAGGCTATAGCTTAATTAATTCCTCCGGTACGGCGGTTTCACAAAGGCAAAATAAAGCACCGATCGAGTGGAAAAAAAAAAAAAAAACAACCAACCAGCTAAACGACAACAGATCTCTGTCGTGAAAACATTAATGGATTCCGATGGAGATGTGTTGTGTTAATGCAACTTCTAATGGGATCTTTATAAAGCTTGGAATTGTCAATGTCATCTCCTTTCCTTAAACATCATGGACATAATCTTAATCCCATTTTGCCATTCCCCTGCTCCCGTCGCGAATTACACATTCATTGACAGCGCTGGCCCAACTACAGGCCCAATTACGGCAAGCCGTGAGTCCATGAGAATGTAAGTGCACAAGCACAAGGGTGGAAAGAGATTTGACCAAGACCAACACATAGATTGTGGAAGCCAGCATCGATTCAGCAGTCGGGCCCTCTGTGTTTTTTTTTTGTTGCTTAATTAGTGTTTCCGACGTGGCTGATGGTGATTAAGCGATGGTAATCATGGAGTTAGAGAAAGCCAAATGTTTGTGGTCACTTCCGTTAGGGAGAAAACGGGACGATGATACCCTTCGAAGAAATTCATTCAATGGGTGGCTGTCTTTGTTAGTCGGAATGAACCAAAATACCTAAGAGGGTCGTGTCGAAGGTGGTTAGGTTGGGTCATTGGTGACCACGACGTGTTTAATTAGCTGACGGTACGAGTCGGTTTTCGTTTTTATTCGGGTCAAAATTGGATGCATCATCGCTTCTGCTAGCCACCTCGGCAAAATACCGACGACGGTGGTAATGGATGCAAGTTCCTCGGCCTCTTTCAGCTCAGAGCATCCCGGTTTCAGCCTGCTCACCGCCGAGTTTTCTCTTCCATGAGATTCACTGTGATGGGTCGCCTTTGAACGATCCCCAGGTGGCGGCTTATGGCGTTGCAATGTTCAATAGCCATGGGCTTGTCTGGTTTTGGGCGAGTTGAAACCTTGCTTGTGCTGTGCTGATTGTTGTGGAAGCAAGGGGTTCTGGGCAGTGGCGGAGCCACTCAAGGCCAAGGTGGGTCATTTGCACCACCTTGGCCCAAAAAATGTAGCAAACATTTTTATGGAATTGTAGATTGATGGTAAAATCTCTATATTATCATAAATATTTTATGAAAGTTTAATTTTTTTCTACTCAATATTTAATTTTTAATTCATATGTTCCGTAAGTGAGTTTAATTTAAACAAAAACTTGAAACTTAGGGGTGGTTGTTGCTATAAGCCATTAATGCAGATGTTGAAAGAACACTTATTGCAATGGAGAAAGTGAAAAATTACTTTGGAATAAGATAAGTTGTGGACTCGTGAAAGATTTTTCATTGTGATATTTTAATATCCTTCATAATTTGCATAATGACTTTATTTCGAAAACAATTCAGAACATAAACACATACTGAAACTTAGTTTATATTTTTTTTTCTTCATATGTTGACCCACCTTAGATGAATTTCTGGCTACGCCACTGGTTCTGGGTTCACTTTGATAGCCTTGTGTTTTGGATTCTTCTGTTGGATTCAATCTTTTCCGGTTCTTTCTGGCTTTTGTTTTTGGTTTGGCTTGCTCTGACTTTTGAGTTCATTGTTGTTTTGTTTTCATTGTGTTTCTCCCACTCCTTGTAACTGTGATTCTCAATGCAATACAAGTGCTCCTATTGTAAAAAAAAAAGTAGTAACTAGTAAGTGGTAACAAGCTCATTAAACGTCACTATATACGTATTTGATCCTGTACAAAATGTTCCTATTTAGTATTTTCTATTTTATACACAAAAATTATACGCTACAGTTTTTCTTAATTTCTGTCGTTGAAAGAAGGAGGAAAAGGAATTCTGAAACTCGCAGCCGCAATTCTTGAACAGCGTGAGGAACTGAGAACCATGCGAATTCCCACAAATATATAATAAAGAGAAAAAAAAATATTTAATTCCAGCGGGAGGTGCGGGGTCCGCTGGAGGTGCCAGGTCAGCGAT